GTCTCACATATGTACCCATTTTGAGGGGTGTTTTGGGGGGATTTAATATTTCAATGTATTTATACTTAATTGATCACTTAAAGCATTCCCTAAAATGTTTAATAGGTTGATCTTACTACTTTTAAATACTTCCTCAAAGTTCAGTAAATCTTTAATACCAGTGAGAGTTCAACATACAAAAAATAGTTTCATACTTTCTAAATATTGTATTATCTCTGACAGAAATAGGAGCCAATCATCTTGGAAAATACAGTGTTTGAGTAGTCAAACTAGCTGAAACACAGCAAAGTAATAGGTACCATATTATAGATCTAAGCAAACCATCTTTTAAGGTAGATTCAGTTTTTAAACTTTTGCTACTGTTATGTTTCTGTATTTAAAAGATAAAATGCTACTTGTCATAGAAATGTATGATCCCAAAACAGAGACTAGGAGTAGAAATGATATTACTAGTTGTAATGAAGCAGCTATCATTGCTCCTGGTAAAATGCCTGATCTTTATTTTATTTTGGTCTTTTCATTAATCCGGTTACTACAAAACTTTTGGAGGTCCTGAGTTTCTATTTTTACTTGATGACCACAGAAGAGAGAAGTTTCTGACAATGTGGGCTTATTATCAGAATTACCTAGATATATAGTTCCTACTGAAAAAAGAAGTGCATCAAAGTTCAAAAATAATGAGAGAAATGAACTTGACCAGTGCTTTCTGTTACTCCCAATAGTTCGCATATTTGGAATTGCAGACATGTTAAAACAGTTTAAATAACAGGAAGCAAAGATTAGAAAGAAATCAACAATTTGTGCAATGGATGAAAGTAAACAATAGGATCCCTCAATGTTTTGTATTGGAGGATTAATGCTTTTTAATTTGTTCATATATGATCTGGAGTTTGGGGAGAGCACTGAGTTGACCATGTTTGCTGAGGCCAAATCGTTTACAGTGCTTAAAACAAAAAGAGTTAAGAGCTCCAAAAGGATCTAATGCCCCTGCAGGGGATGGGGGAGTTCTAAGCATGTATGTGCTAATGGGGCTTGAGCTCTTGATGACTGACCATAAAGGGATCTTGGTCATGGTGAATACCTCAATGGATATATTGATAGTAAGTGGCTGCTATGAAAAATGCAGACTTAGGGTTTGCTGCTGTAAATATGCCTTCACTTAAAAAGAAAAAAACCCCTATTTTTCCATGTGACCATGCTAGAAATACTATATACCAAAGGTTCACAACCTCTTTGGATCCATGGGCACATTTGGAAATCTGAAAAATGGTTGCTAGCACCACCACAAGATCATTTGCTCAGAGATATATCTGTTCACATGTTTGGCTGCTGTAGGTGCCTGGCTAGGCAAAAGTGAGTGAGCCAAAGAAGGGAGAAACAGCTGGGAGGGATGATAAAATAACAAGGGAAAGGGAAAGACGGGAAAGAGAACAAGGGTAGAAGTTAGAAGGGGAAGGAAAGAAGACAGCGCTAATGTGTTTCATAATTTTCTTACAGCATTTTGAAGGGGGCGGGGAGGGGAGAACTTTATAGGTGCCATTGGAGGTTCTTATGTGGCTGTCATCATGCATGGTCACTTATGTATTTGTGGTCACCAGATGCACCTCAACAAGGATATTGCAGACTTAGAAAAGGCACATAAAAGAGCAATTAAACAACAGAATTCACTGCAACAGAGTTGTGATGGATACCAGTTTGGAGTGTAACACTTAGATTTTTCTGAGGGTTGTATACTACCTGTATATTATCAGAGGCAGTATACATCTTAATACCACCTGCAGAGGAACATGCGGAAGAGAGTGATATTGTGCTCACATTCTGTTTGTGGGTTCCAGCCATTGTAGGAACAGAAAATTAGATTAAGCAGGGCTTTGTTCTGATTCAGCAGGGCTCTTACTATAGTTTTACATTGTTTCAGCTGTTGCTGTTTTGCTAGGAGAAATAAACAAAAAGGAATAGTAAAAAAAAAAATCTAAAGGACAGAATGCCAGTTGAACAACCTACATATTACAAGGAGGCCTAGTGGTTCTAGTTAGTGAAGGCTAGGTCATCCAATGTTAAAGGTGGTAGCTGAGTTTTGTCACTGCGGTAATATTCCACATGCGTTACTTTTCCTAAGCAAAACAAATAGCCTTTCACTTATATGGAATAAAGTAGAGGGGTATATTCATGGATGCTTTTGGAGTGGGAGTAAACCTTGCCACCTGCTGACTTTATGAGAAGCAGGTTTTGCCCTTTCTTAACTGTGTTCCAGTTTGCAGCCCATTTTCCTTTAGGAAGAAAACTGTTAACCAACAAGAGCCAAGCAAGCCCCATTGCTGTGGGTTCTTTTTCTTTAGTTACACTAGAACAGAATATGGGAATGGAACAAATAATGATTGTCATCAGACAACACAGGTGAGTGTGGGCTGTCGTTGTACTATTGGTTGTTAAAATGTGGGTTACTTTATTGTCTGAACCCAGCAAGGATAATAAACAATGATTTCAAAAAATCTAACAACAAACCAAGAGTTGTCTTCAGGGGTTGTTCATGTTTGACAAGCCATGGCTTGTTAGCACAGCTGGGCGCAGATGACACCATAATCCATCTTTCATTAATAGTACAACAACCTGCATGCAACTGATTATCAGTCCTAGAGCGTGGGTTAATACATTGTCTGAACCCAGTCAGTGACAAATTTTGTACAAAATAACAAACCACTGTGGTTTATAAAATATAGTGGGTCAAAATATCATTCAAACCTGCTATGATTTTGTCAAGGTTAAATGAGTACTTAAGTGAGTAATGCTTCATCCTGACAAGCCAAGGTCCTAGGGCTTTTTATACCCAATATGGGTCATCCAAGCCCAGACTATGTAAGCTGTCACGGGCCAACCTCAGCAGCAAATGAGCTGCTTGGCAAGAATGGCCAAAAGACTTGCTGCTTTTGCTAAGAAGCTGCCATGTAGGTACCTTAGCTAGCCATGCAAAAGTGCCCAAATGCCCCATCCCTGCCAAAGCTACAAGCCATTTCTAGTTTGCTAAAGTTTTTTCCCTTCTCTATTTTTCCCCTAGAGATTGCAAAAGCAGTTGTTAAACTGCCCATCTTGCAGTCCCCATTTTGGCAGCTGTGAGCAATCCCTGCAAGTGGTCCCAGCAATACTTTAGCCATTCTGCCTGTGGTTGCTACCCATTTTCTTGCTTCCTTTGTAGGCAAATATTTGTGCTAATATTTTTTTTCAAGTTCTCTAGCTAGATTTGCAGAAATCCAACATTCCAGAGTAGCATCTGGAGTCTGGATGCAGGAGGGCAGTTGCCCAAGATTATTAGGTACCCACACTATGGAAACCCCCCTCCCCACCTGCGGATTAGTTATTTTTCTTTTGGAATTCTATGGCAGTTGTTGGAATTTGAGTAGTCAAAGGGTTCAAAACCAGCAAGTGTTCCCTGTTTGTGAAGGAAAGAAGATTTGTAACTGAGATCCCTAGTAGTTTTATATGTTCACAACATGCTGGCATTTTAAGGAGACTTGCAAAACTCAGGGGACACCGGGGACAGATGTACACCCACCCCCAAACCCCTGAGAATCAAGCTGCAAAAGGGATGTTTCATCACCACTCCCATTTTTATTTTTATTTTGCAAGCAAGAATCACTTGCTTTGGAACTCTTTGACAGATCACCTTCTGACAATTGTCAAAAGGTTTCAAAGGCAGTGGAGTTAACTTACCTCCAGGCTCAGTGCCTGCTGGACCTGGTTAGCAGGCAGTTGCACAAGAGCTATTGCACAATATCCATCCCAGTCTCCCAGTACGTGCAAACAACACTTCTATAGAATGTTGGATTTCTGCAAATCCAGCTGGAGGTTTTTCTTTAGAAAAGTGGGCACCCACTAGAAGCTGCTCCAGTGTGGTGCTGTAGCATCCTAGAGCTGCCAAAATAAGAATCATGAAAGTCAGTTTAACTGCTGCTTTTTGTACTCTGAAAAAGCTGTGCCAAGCCAAAAACAGCACTAGCAGGTAAGTAGGGACAACTTGATGCTCCCTTGGTGTCCTCTAGGATACCCATGGGAGGACCAAGCAGAGAGGAGGCAAACCACCCACGGTGAGCCTGGTATTCTGGCAGGACTAACCACAGGTTGTTCTTTCAACAGGTGAATACGTCTATGGTACAAATGTTTGGAATTTGCAAGGGGCACCATTTCTGGGCTATGCTTGTGTTGCTTGGTTATTGAGAAAACAAAACTGGTATTTTTTAGCTCCTATAAGGAATGCCATTAATCTAGCACTGGACCTGTTGATCATCTACCTTCTAAACAAAATCCATGTGGCATTTCTATACACAAGAATTTGAACAATGGAATTCCATCCCCTTTTCTAATCCTGTGTATTACTTGAGAGGCTAATAAACTGAGAAGTCATCATTTATTCTCCTTGTACATAAGTAACCATACAGTTACTTATACAGGGTGCAGTTCAGAGACTTATGATGCTGAAATGCTGGCTATTCTTATAGTCTTGTTTTTAAAAGGAGGTTTTTTTTTTTTTTTGAGCCCATTGCTGCCCTCTTGTGTCTCAGAACTTGTAACAAATTTCCAAGAAAGCAGAACTTGTTAGACTAGTTTTGCACAGTTGAACATAGCAGGCTGGTTTCTTTCAGTATGTTAGTATGAATGCCTGCTTGTGCAACTGGCTGCAGCTGGCAAATGGCATACATCAATGGCCTTAGAGCAAACTTACTTATTTAATTCATTTTATGTATGCAGCACCCAATACCTGAAGCTATCTTAATGGTTTATAACCACTCATAACATGCAGTATAAAAATAAATGACAATAACTACACAATAAAATTTGTTACCTTAATTTAAAAACCACATTAACAACTGATTTTAGACAACTTGAATAATTAAGACAGGATAATGACTACACCTGTGTGAATTTTTTTAAAACCACAAATTTTACAGTCTCATGGACAGATTGTGCATAGGCATCATTCATAGGAGTTCTTTTGTCTCCTCTAGGAATGTCCCAGTGGGGTTGTTAATGAAGAAACCTTCAAAGAAATTTACTCCCAGTTCTTCCCACAGGGGGGTGAGTACTCTATGAATAGTCTTGTTTGCATGCACAAACAACTCTTTGTAATTGCTTTGAAATCTGGCCTAAACAGGTTGTTGTTCTAATTAATTAAGTCTTTCATACTTCTTAATGGCTGGACAGGGGTACTTTAGGGCTTTAATTAAAGTCTGAGCATACCTACTAGCTACTAATATTTACAAAAGCACAATCTGCAATTTGATGCTTGGTGTTGATTTGTAGCCTACCTCATCCAATAGTCAGAGGGCAAATATCAAAAGCAAAAATAAAATTCATTGACAAATTTCTCTTTTTTCCTATCTTATTCTTGATGCCCAAAGACCATCCCAAACAGATAGAGGTTTCAACATTTTGGAAGGCTTTGGATTGGTAAATATGCAAGAGGCATGAGTTCTACTTAAACCAGGGTTTCAATTTAAAGATGGTGATGGCCACTGGCTGGTTTGCATGATCTCAAGGCAGTTAACAATGTGATGAGTTAACCACCCTGGGCATGCTGCTTGCATACCATCTGGATTTTCAGAATTACCCTCACCAGTGCAGCTTCTCATATTGTGAAAACCAAATGAAGGCAGTTTATTGTAGTGCTGTGGGATGGTTTTCTGTCCACCCTAAGAAGCCATCCTTCCTGGGTTTGCAGAACTCAAGAAACTGTGCTGGTGAGGGTGCGTATGCAAAACTTGCTAGCATGCATGAGGTGATTGTAACCACACTAGCTTGTTAACCACACAAATGAGGCCATGTATTCCTTAGTGGTTCCAGTATACGGTGGTACCTCGGCTCATGAACGCCTTGGTTCACAAACAAATCGGGTCGCGAACAAAAATTTCATTAAAATTTTGACGCGGGTTGTGAACTCCGCATTGGGTGGTGACCAAGATCACAGCCATCTCCCCCTCCCCTGAGTGGAGAGATGGCCATGATTGCAGTTGCTTTCATGCAGGGAAGGCATGCATGATCACAGGCATGCTCCTGCAGGAAAGACGGGCACAATCTCAGCCATCTCCCCCGTGGCTGTGCTGGGCTGCGCTCATCTTTCCTGCAGCAGCACGCTCGTGATCACGCACGTCTTCCCTGCATGAAAGGAACTGCGACCATGGCCATCTCCCCACTCGGGTGGGTGGGGAGATGGCCACGGTCGCAGTTGCTTTTGTGCAGGGAAGGCATGTGTGATCAGAGGCATGCTGCTGCAGGAAAGATGGGTACGCTCAGCCATTCCCCCCCCCACAACCAGCACGATCGCAGCTGTCTCCCCACCCAACCCCCGAGTGGGGAGATGGCCACGATCATGCTGGGGGCGGGGGGGAGATGGCCGAGATCACGCCCATCTCTCCCTCCTCCAGTGTACCGTTTGTGCCCATCTCTTCCTCCTCCAGTGCGCCCAGGATCTCGCCCGTCTCTCCCCCCCACCCTCCAGGATGACAGGCACGATCTTGGTCAAGCTGGGGGGGGGGGGAGGTGGCCGTACTTGTGCTCGCGGGGGGTGGGGGGATATGACCGTGATCTTTGTTGTTGTCATTTTTCTTCACATTTTTCTGATTTAAAAAATGGTTACAGAATGGATTCACCCTATTTACATTGAACCTTATGGGGAAATTTAACTTGGCTTATGACCAATTTGGGTCACGACCAGAGTCCTGGAACGGATTAAGTTCATGACCTAAGGTACCACTGTATTTGGCCAGTTCATTGGCAGTACTAGTTCTATTCATTCTAGTTATGCAGGCTAAATTTGTTCATTAAAATAGTTTGTGAGAGAAGGTCTTGCATACATTGCCAGTGTTGCTACAGATATAATTAAGCACTGTCAAATTAATTGGCTGCAAAGATTTGCTCATTTTTGTTAGTGCTTGCAATTTAATCTTTTATACATCCCAGAATCTGCCTTTGAAACTCCCTTTGCTCCCTTTTGGTCACCCAACCTCCAAAATCTGAAACGACACCTCTTCAAGCTCTCATAGAAGAGCTTAATCCTTCCCGTTCCAAGCAGGAGAATTGGCAATACTGCTAAGAATTCCTTATAAACGCTGTATGAGTCTATGTGTTCTCAGTTATTTCCCTCCTACAGAACTTTACAATAGCATAAGCAGTGGCAAATGTAGGAGGTACTTTAATTGTATAGGTCAAAGCCTAAAGCTGAATAAAATTTGTGATTTTCCAATGATCTTTATGGGCTTTCTTTTGTTTCACTTGGCATGCTGCTTTTTCTGGGGGGAAAAGGTGGCAGTTTCTGTTATCCCTAGGTAATTTCTGAATTGTATACATTTCAGAATAGAGTGGGTGACACCATCACCCACTTGGTATGATTTTCATCTTGTTACATAGATTCCCCACTCCACCCCAGCACTTACTGTGGCATCTCCTCTGTATTCGCTCTCACATTTGTTTATTTTTAATTTATATTTATTCTGTATATAAGGTACACAGCCAGGGTGTTCTTCTATACAAGTTCTGTTGAAATGAATGGGAATCACTTAAGAACATCTGCACTTTTTTTCATATGCCTTGTGTACCTGAATGTTCCAGTGGATTTATCTTTGAATTTTACTTGCTCATGCTGAAAAGAAGTTATTCCTGTGGAATTAACTGAAATGACTTTGACCCAGTTCAAGCAATTACTACAGCCCACCATCGTTTTTTAAAACCATGGTGGGCTGCCGTGCATGCTGGTATATGCTGGATGGCTTTTGAATATTCAAAACTCTTGCATGATGTATTTTCCAGACTTGGGCAGTGGCTGTTGTGCGAAGGTTATAAGCCCTTGCATGGCTTCTGCTGCCCAAGTTTGGGTGACAGGTGCAGCTTGCATATTCAAAATGGCCACCTTGGAGAACTGCTGGCAGTCTGCTTTGACAATGCTGGGCTACCTGAATCAATGGTCTGGCGTGGTATAATTTTCTATAGGTTTTTCCTATGCTGCTAATATCAGCCAAAAAAGATAATTACACCCTTAATTTTCTATCTTCTAAATTTATTCATAATTAAAAGTGTACAGCTACTTAAGGTGTTTGATTTTTCCAGGAAGAAGGTGAACATTTAAGGTGCTTTATCTTCTCCTGAGAGGGCTCCTTATCATTTACCAAGGTGCAGAAGCCCTAACAGGTGCTGGGTTCTATGAGCATTCTGTAAGCAAATCATTACATGGCAGCTTTTCCTACCAAAATTAGATACAAGGTTCCACTGATTAATCCTAGCCGGCACACTGCTGACACCCCCCTTGAGACAGGGGATGTTTCAATGGGGAGGGATGAGACAGTGTGTGCCATGCATCTCCTCAGAGATTGGTGATTTTTTCATTTATTTTAGTAATAAAGAACCTCTTGTTAAGTGTTTGTGCTTATTGAGGGCTATCAAGAGAGCAGAGACTAGGAGTGGACCACATGCTGAGCAGATTACCCATCACCCCAAATAGTAACCATACCCTTTTTGCTTCTAATGGGCAGTATCCAGAAGTATACTCTGTATTCCAAGTATGATCACATATTTGTATACAGGGAATAGGATATTGGAAGTGTGCGGCTGGAAACCATGCTGATTCTTTTTTTGGAGAATCCTTCTGTATGCTTATAAATTTAACCTTAACCATGCTTTCCACCAATTTATCTAGAACAGACATTAAGCTAACTGGCCTGTAATTTTTCTAGATCTTCCTGGAACCCTATTGAAAAATTGATATTACATCAGCTATCCTCCAGACTTCTGGTGCAAATCTTGATCTTTGAGACATGTTACATATTTTTGTAATTTCTTAGGAACTTTAGGATGGATACCGTTTGGGCCCAGTGATTAATTAGCTCGAACTCTTTCAATATAGTCAAGAACTTGGAACTCATGTCACCATTCATTTCTTCTGACATCACTTCATGCCTGGGTATTGGCTCTGTCTGAATCCAATACAATCAGTTTCCCACAAATCTCATCATCCTTCTTTAGTGCTCCTTTAATTCCATCTTCATCCAAGGATTCAACTGCTTCCCCAGATAGTTTCTGGCTTTTGGTATATTTAAATAATGTTTAGTGTTGGTTTCTTTTATTAGCTGGTCCTGGAGGACCAGCTAATAATGTTGGTCCTGGGGGACTTCAGTCTCCATGCCGAGACTGTTCTGACCAGGGCGGCTCAGGACTTCATGGCCTCATGGCCTTGTTTTGTGATTGTTCACAGATTTCCTCTCAGTGTGGCTCACTATCTAAGCCAATGCTAGAAGGGCGTATTCTGCTGAGTTTCATCCCCACCTTTGTGGAACAGGATCCTTACAGAAGTGAGGCTTACCATTTATGTGCTCAGTCCTTGCACTTCATCACTTAGAAATGCAGCTGTGGGCAGGACAGCTTGCTGAGTTATTATATGTAGTGGTGGATGCCTCTTTACAGCAATGAACAATTCCATCTTGGTTAAAAGAGGTGGTAGTAAAAACTTTGCCCCCCTCCCACTGAAACCCATTATACTGGATAATTTTCAGCCAGAATCTAATATTCTGTATTCTGTTCTTGAGCAAGATTTTGGAGTGTGTGGTAACTTCTCAGCTCCAGGGATTTCTGGATGAGATGGATTATCTAGGTCCATTTTAATCTGTCTGCAGGCTTGCTTATGGGACAAGGACTGTTTTAGTCATCTTGATGGACAGTACACACTGGGAACTGGACAGGGGGCTTGTATCCTTTTGGGTCTTCTAGATGCTTCAGCAGCTTTCAGTGCCATCAACCACAGTACTTTTCTGAGGCATCAATCTGATATTCGACTGGGAGGAACTATTATGTGGTAGTTCTTGTCCATCTTGGAAGGGCAATCTCAGAAGGTGGTGCTGGGGGATTCTGCTTAATGCCTTGGCCATTTGCCTGTGGTGTTCCACAGGGTTCCCTCTTATTCACCATGCTATTTAATATATACATGAATCCACTGAGAAAGATTGTCTGGTGTTTGGAGGTTCAGTGACACCAGTATTCTAATAACACAAACTCCATCTCTTCTCCATCTAAATTCAAGGAAATTGTTCGAGTTCAAAATCAGTGTCTGCTGTTGCTGATGGATTATAACCTATAAACCCTATCTGGCTTAGATCCAGGCTACCTGAAAGACTGCCTTCTTCCGTATGAATCTGCCTAGTTCTTGAGATCTTTGGAAGAGGCTCTTCTTCTGAGGCATTTGTTGACAAGAAAGGAGGCCTTCTCAGTGGCTGCTCCCTGGCCATGGTACTCCATGCCAAGGGGAGCTAAATTCATTACCTCTCTGCACGCTTTCTGCCAGCTGTCAAAGGCCACTTTATTCAAGTAGGCCTTGGGTGTGTAAGTGGGTCTGTTGAGCTGAATGCAGAATTTACTCTGCTATTTTGCTTTTAAATATTTTAATATATATACTTGTTGTAGTACCAAGTTTTATTTGTAATTGTAAGCCATCTTGAATACAGTTTTAGTAGAAAGTTGGAGCACTCTTAAATCAACCAATAAACGTACTGGAAACATGACACTCTTAACAAAAAGCCATTGGATGTCACCTCATCTTGTACCAACAATAGTGATGTCATGTGTGTTGCATGGGGAAGTACAGAATGTGACAATGTGCAGAGGGAGAACAAGAAACAGGCCCATGTTTCCTGTGCTATGCAGTTCTGCCAATTCTCTCAGCAGCAGTTGAGTGGGCCCTCTTTATGGAATCTGCTGGGGTGGAAATCTGAATGCATGGGCACTGTGACTATGCCAAGCATTAACTGAAAACAGCAATCAAATCTCTTCAGTTGTATGAACCGGGTATCTAAGAATTTGTGATCTCTATTGCTTCCTGTCGCCACCTGTCAGAATGTTAATGTATCATAATAATTATGATTACTTGGTGCTAAAGACAAGCCATATTTCATTAGAAAATCCACCCCCTTTCTCTACTGATTTATATTCCAGACTTAGTGAAAGAAAAATCACATTAGGTTGCTCTAATTAAACGCTTAAGGACTTCATCCTTCAGCTTAGGTTTAATCACTAAAGACAGTGAAACCACTGGAATTATCTGAAAAGTATGAAAGGAAACTATAAAAGTCATTTCTGGCAAAAACTGATAAGCTTTAGTGATTTTTTTCAGATTTGTGGTTTGCATGAATGGCAAGTGTTCACAAGTTGTCCACAAGTGTTCATTGGTTGCCATGTGGTGTGAACTGTGACTGGGTTATCCAGCATTCACAAAGCCTGTCTTAACATAACAACAGCCCTTTCAAAGTCTTGCAGTGGCATATTGGAACAGTTGTCCATAGCTAGATGAAACTTTTAAAATTTAGCTCTGTGTGTGTGTATGCACATGCATGTGCTCAAAACTGTGCATTTTATATCCACAATTAGCTAAAATTTATGTTTTATCTTTTTGTTCTTTAAGTCACATAGTTGCAGCACTGAGAACCTTCTCAGTTGCAAAGTCCAAAGGGAGCTTGCTGGCAGGTACAGCAGCTAGTGGCCATTGACATTGCCTGGAAGATGCCCCAATATGCATGCACTGATCCAAAGCCACCCATTTCCCAATTAGAACCACTTTTTCCTTTTCCCTAGAAAAAGCAGAAAACACACTTTTGCACTTTCCCAAACATGAAGAAAATTCCTGCAAGCTGCCAAAAGGAATGAGTGGGCAAAATGTATTTGGGGCATCTCCTCCAGTCATGCTGACAGTCAGTACCCACTGCCCCTTGGACATTGTACCAGCCTGGCAGCCAATCCTAGCAACTGCAAGTTAAAAAAACAAAAACAAAACTATTTGGGGGAATTTTTATACCGAAATTTTTAATTTGGGGAGGCAAATTTATATATTTTAAAATAGTGTTTAAAAAATCAGTTAATAAGGCACAACCTTGTTTAAATTGCAGATTCCACAACATATGCACATTTTCTGTTCAATGCATTTGACACGGATCACAATGGATGTGTGAGTTTCGAGGTAAGGCCAGTGATTTACTTCTATTCTTCTCAACTGTGACTGAAAGCTCGGAGGTATTACTCCAATAAGTCGAGTGCTTACAAATTAGGGTAAACAAAGAGCTGCGGCATGTTCAGTGGATAATAGTGATAATTAGTGTAAGAATTAAGGTCTGCTCTGATCAAAGCCCTATTGATATCAGTTAAAGAGTTATGCATGTGTTCAGATTTGCCCATTGAAATAAATGGAACTTAAAATGCTGAACTTGGTATCTGGCTCTACTTCAGTTCTCCTTACTATCGATATATTATCTCAGTATTCTACACAACAGTATTGTGTTGTTCAACATTATAGCTCCTAGGTTTTAAATAAAACATTATAGCTCCTATGTTTTAAATAAATAAATAAATAAATATTATAAATGGGGGAATTGAACACCTACATGTTACAAATGTAACAAATATCCAGTTTGTAAGGAGTGATTTGAAACTAGGGTAAACATGTCTGTGAAGTTCCTTAGGAGGAAAAGCAGCTGGAACGAGGCCATTGAGAATGGAGAAGAAGTAGATAGGAATGGGTTAAGCATAGGCTTTCTGCTCCAAATCACCCTTCTGGTACCCCATGGGCAACATTATGCAAGGCAATGCAAAAATGTTCTTGTAAAGAGCATTTCATCTTCATTCCATTGTGGATGTGGCAAAACTGTTCCACAACTGAAAGCTGCAGATACTCCTGTAGTGTAACTTCCATTCATCTCTAAGAAAGTGTGGAAATTGGGCATTTTTATGTCCAGAAGCTGACACATTAAAAATATCCTACTTTCTAGCATAGAAATTTTTAAGCCACTTATTCGATGGAATACAGATGTGTGTGAATTCCCTCTTTCACATGCTTCAGTAAGCTCTTCAGATATTTGATGCGTTCAAAATGTGGTACTGAGGAAGCTTTGCAAATATCCTGGACCAATAGAAAGACAAGAAGTGAGTCATAGATGGAATCAAGCCAGAGCTTTCCCTAGAAGCAAAAATGAAGTTGCTGTGCTTTGGGCACATCATGAGAAGGCAAGATTTCCTGGAGATGCTAGTAGGAATTGAAAGCAGAAGAAGAAAAGGAAGAGTAAAGATGAGATGGACTAAAGGGAGCAACAGGCTTGAGCTTTGGCAGGGTTCTGAAGGACAGGACATTTGAGAGGGCTTCATTCATAGGATCTCCATAAGTCAGAGAAGCCAGTAGGATCAGTTTTTAAAACATACATAATTAGGCTCACTAGGTTTCCCCACATCCTCATTTTCCTTAACCCAAACCATTGCTTCCTTATTTCCTTGTATGATGGGAGCTCGTCAGATATTTGATGACATGATCATTTGTTGTTATGTGTTATCAAGTAGTTTCCAACTTATGGTGACCCTGTGAATGAAACTCTCCAAAATGTCTTGTATATGACAAGAGGGGGACACTATCAGATTTCCCCTTAGTATCTTCTTTTCTCCAATATAAACATACCCAGCTTTCCAACTGTTTCTCATAGGACTTTTTAAAAAGAACTGTTTATCATCCTGGTGCTCTTCTCTGGATATGCTCCAACTTGTCCATTGGGTTCTTAAAATGGAGCACCCAGTACAAGACACAGTGCCCCAAATGCAGCCTAGTGCAGTATAAAGCAGAGATATTACTTCCCATGATCTGAATACTATGTGTCAAATTAATGCAGCTTACTCTTGCGTTAGCCTCAGAGTGCTGGTTCATTTTGAGCTTGTGATCTTCTAAGGCACCTATGTCTTTTTCATGTGTGTTGCTGCCAAGCCCATTTTCCAGCATCCTGTTCTTGGATGTTTTTGTGCTTCAGTACAGGACTTTACATTTATCTCTGTTGAACCCATCTTGTTAGATTAGATCTAGTGTACCAGCTTGTTTAGATCTTGATCCTGTCTCCAGTGGTGCAGTCTATTCCTCCTAGCCTGTGCCATGTGCAGATAATTAAGCAATGGCTCTATATTCACTTCTAAGTTATGTATAAAAATGTTGAACAGTATAGGACCTAGAACAGAGTCCTACAGCACACTATGCAAGACGTCCACTAATTAGCACTCAGTAAGCACAGTTGTTCAGTCCATATTTTGACACTGTGTCAACAAGAATATTGTGGAAAACCTCATACAGTACGTCACTGAAATCAAGATCCTATGTCCACAGCATCCCTATGTTCTCCCAGCCTAGTAACTCACATAAGGAGATAAGCTTAAACTGGCAAGACTCCTGACAAACTCATGTTGATTCCTGGTAATTAATGCATTATTCTCTAGATGCTCAGAGACGGAATGTTCCATCAACTAACTGTTCAATAATTTTACCTTGAATTTGACACCAGGTCTGTAGTTTTCTGGATCTACCTTTTCCCCCTTCTTGAAACTGGGGACAGTATTTGCCCATTTCTAGTCTTCTGCTACCTCACTTTTTCTCCAGGCATTCTCAAAAGTTTGGATTTCACTGACTATCCAAACCCTTTCATGTTCCACTTTTCTTTGTCATCTGTTACCATTGTTCCATCCATGGTGAGTAGCCAGGAATTCACATGGAGTATTTTTCCCACCTTTTCCTTTTCCATGAACTGGAAGGATTGAGGAGAAAACTATCTGGGCTCCAATGTTCATTTTCCTTTATAAAAATTTTTTTCAAAGACTACTCACAATTCCATGGTTTATCACTGTGCAGGTTTTTCTCCATTCCAAAAGGCTGAAATGCCTGTCAGGCTTAGCTGCTGTCAGTTATTTGACTAAAATATGCATGGGGTGTGTTTGACTCTGTCCCTCTACCCCACCCCTTTCGTTGTGTGCCTTTCCAGCCACTGGAATTGACCTTCTGAGAGTTTTCCTGAAAGGGAATTTGGCTGAAAGAGATTTAGCAGCCCCTGGTAGTTTTTTAATGTACTATATTTTCATCTTGCCCATTTTCTTCTCAAAGGATATCCAAGGCAGCGCACATGTTTGTCGTCCTCTCCAATTTTTTTTTTTAAATGAATTTCTTGCACACATGCATCTGCTGTTATACCCTTTATTCATTCGCCATTCATTCATTGAAACTACTAGAAACACTTCCTTGTTGGTACTTACATGCTCTACAGCACCTCTCTGTTAGATCAACAATGCCTTTGACAGACCCATAATTCAGAAACAATACTGTCAGTTCACTGGAAGCAAACCAGCACCTGTAAATTCTATAATTCATATCAATTTGGTTTCACTGATCTTAATACAGACTATGGGAATCGTAGGTTGGTTGTGTTGTAGTAAATAAGATTCAGCAAGTGGATGTTAAATATACTTCTATATATAATGCTATGTGATTTTTGAAAACATGGGTCACTTATTCCATAAATAAGACAGAAGTCTGGAAATGCCTTAAAATGTATCAGGACTTTCTTGAATATGAAATGAAGACAGACAACAATCACAATACTATAAATATTAGTAAAGCCTCCTCATTTCCCTGTGTAGAGTTTCCAACTTTGTGCCCACAAGTACTAACATGCCCAGTATGGTGCCTTGCCAGGCTCAGTGCCGCTTTTGATTTTTCTTTCATGCTGGGGTTGTAGTCCAAAACATCTCCAGTGCATCAAGCTGCCAAAGGTGCTGTGGAGTTTTTCATGGCACCTTCTCTTTAATGAAAAAATAGATCCTTTTCCGGTTGTCTGGGGTCAACTCTGCAGTGATTGAGAAATACAACAAACCATGTATATAAGGTAGTAGGGATCAGAATGACTGCCATCCAGTGCTAAAGTTTTCAGTTATTTATCATGTCTATAGATACTTAGCTGAGAAAATATTCTGAGAAAGGAGTGTATTCAGCAGATAGCCAGTGTTAGGCCAGATCTATGCCTAAGTTTGTTTTGTTAAGAACTCCTCATGGTTCCGCCATATCCACATCTCACATTCCTTACTCCTATAGCTATTTGTTTTACTAGCCAAGAAAGGATCTCAATGAAGGCATGCTTTTTATTATTGTTGTTTACAAATTGTATTGGGTTTAATACCTTCCCCAATATTTTATTTGTGTAGCTTTGAGGTACATTTGACATTTTTGATTAACAGAGAGTAATGATTACATAAATAAGTCTAATTAATCAAAACTATGCTTTACTATTAAAAAGCAGTAGAGATTCCAGCTAGAAATAATAACCAGTTTCAGAATTTTAAAATTCCTTTGGCAGCATGATGATAAACGCCTTAAGTCTGTGACCCAGAGTTCAGTCAGCTACATGTAAGCTGTTTTGACTTCACTGGAATGTTCTTCTCTAAATAAACATTTCTAGGATCAGAGCAGAATCTGCTGTTGTTGCTGGGGTGAATAAATAAGCCCTATCTCTTTGCTTCAGGTGGCACAATGTAATTGTGCCAAATGAATAGGAAAATAGGTTTAAACCTCTTGAGAGCGAGTCATACTTGCTTACATTCATGCTTGTGTCCTCTGCACATTCTTTTCATTTGGAACAAATTCTGTGGATCATATTGCTGGGCTTATACTGGACTTGTACTTATACCTACTTGATCACAACCAATTCTGAGGCCTATTTCTTGCTGCTTGCCTCCTGTCAAAACAGCTTTGTTAGAGTGTTGCTGACCAGCAGAAGGATGGAGGCCTTCATTTGCACTCTTGGCACATTGCTGCTGCTTCTTTCTAATATCAGAGTGGCTGAAGCTGCCCAGACAGAGGATGATGGAATCAGATCTTCAAAATGTGTCCTTTTAATCTTTCCTATGCCAGATTGTTGATTGCTCATGTCTGGAGCAAAATCTAAGAAAGTAGTCTGTTTGTCATCTTTTTCATATAGCTTCTGACAGAATCCCGGAATCTCAATTTGAGAAGAGGGAATAAAACTCGGGTTCATGGGAAAGACCAAGCGTCCAGATCATCTGAGGCTTTATTGTATTTACCCCAAGGTTCCTGCGGTACTCTCACGATAATGCATGCATTACCAGGCAGGCAGAGATGAACTCTGCTGCAAAGCTTCAGTACCATTACAGGGCATTTGTAGGTACACAGGTACAGGGCAGTTGATGACAGAATGCAGAGATTACAATAAGATTCTGAGGTCATCACATACAGAACAGATAAAGAAATGTCAGTCAATCACACTGTAACAATGAGATTACAATAGTTCTAATTGCCTGTATTGACACTTTAATTCAGTAGCTTGAACCCATCTCCAGGTCTGCTTAAGACATGTAAATTCAAGCTACTGAGAAACAATGCATGATAAGCTCAAGACTCCTATCTAGACTGGAGACATTCTGAATTGGCCAGGGCACATGGGGCCTCTGGGCTAGGAAGATACTTCCTTGAATTCCAACAATGTCTATTTACAATATATATTTGGACTGAATGGCCTGTCTACTGTAGCCCACAGCTAAAGGTGAGAGAAAGGAGCGGGGGGAATGCGATTTTAAACAGTGACAGTTTGGTTTTTGAGAAGGAAGACAGGATTTGATCCCACAATTCAAAAGCACACACAAAAGTAATGCTTTTCAGACAGGATTTACCCAAATTTTCCCAACACTTCAAGGATATTTTGGTGCTTGTAAACACAGTTGTATATGTTGTATCCCGTGGTTTTGCAGATGAGCCCAGAGACCAGTTGATATTTTTAAGAGGAGTTTATTACCTGCAGGATTACCTGCAGGGACCAACATTCTAGTAAGAATGCAGTCCTGAACAGAGTTGGAATGAGATTTTTATACTTTTACAATCAGCTTTTGGCAAAATGGGGAACAATACAATCAGTCTTTGACAAGAGTGAGAACAATGGCGACAATGGGGAGTTACAGAATCACATAAGCAGCAGTTGAGCAAGCGATATACAGAAGCAGATTTGGTTAGCAGTAAGTTTTATCTTTTAATTTACACCTTTTAGGTAATCTTTGCCCATTACGTCTTTGGTAAGCTTTTTCCATTTTCTGAGGGAATTCTCTGAGACAGCTGCTAGACATTTCGATTGAGCTAGAGCCTAGGGGAGCCATGCCTATTATGAATGCCCTGAAACAGCTGATAGATATTCTAATGCCAGTTGTTATGTTAATCTGGAACCTGGGGATTCAGGCCTAACAGTATAGAGAGCAAAGGAATCCAAAAGAAATATGACCCTGAAAAAAACACACCCAATCTATTTAAAGATGCAACTTTATGAATGTGGCAGCAAGGGCAGAAAATCTGTTTTTTCATCTAATGTCACAACAGAATAGGCAAATGATAAATACTAAAACTTTGCTTAGCAGAGTTTGGTTTCATCATGACTACAAAGTTAATAAAAAGCATACATGTATCCAATGCCTTTCCTGATATGGAATATGTATTTCTCTTTTAAAAACCTTTAAAAGAGTTTTTTAGAAATAGAGAAAATAATTTTCTGAAGATGGCTGGCAACAGAATAGTAAGTGCAGATGAATATATAAATATATATTTAAAAATAATGTGGAGTGTCCATAGAAGAAGAATTATTTATATGTTCACACTACAATTCTACCAGTTTTGTCAAAAAATCTCTATGGTGATGCAGCAATGAGGGTGCTAGAGTTGGACTTGGGAGATCTGGGTTCTAATCCCCACTCAGCCTTGATGGTCATTGGAAGATTTGGGGGCAGTTATGAATTCTCAATGCATTGAGCTCACAAGTTTGTTGTGAGAATCAAATGGAGGAGGAGAACCTTGTAAGTTAACTTAGCTTCCTTACAAGAGAAAGAAAGGCAGGTTATTAATATAATGTAGCACTAATAATAATTATTTGTGTAGTCTGAATGCTCTATAATTTGGGAAGGGTATAGGGAAGTCACAGATAATAAAGATGGTCATGATCCAAGCAAAGTTCAGCATTTTCATGTTCCAGAGTCTTTAAGAAGAAAGATTCCAGTATATGCATAATTCAGTGGGACTGAAAAGTGATTAATGCTGGTTATGTCAAGTCTAAAATATTTTTATCCATTAACTAAGTGATGTTTTTGGTCTTTTGTTTTTGAAAAGCCAGTTTACCCCTGGCATGCCCAGGTCTGCACCTGCTTAGCTTTAACAGTGCTACAAGAGAGAATCCAGAGTAACACTTTATCAGTTGTGCTAGTGGAAATGGACTTTGCTGTCCCCTCCTATGGCAGCCCTCTAGCCCCATGAAACTGCTGCATTGAGACATGGTTTGCACAATGCAACACAACCCATAGTGGGTACCTAGCCATGGTGAATTGTGATGTCATCCAGACTGAGATTGTTTCCTGCAAGCTGGCTTACTTTTGGACAACAAGCCACGCTGACAACCCATTGCTTATTCTAGCGTTTCTTTGATCATGATGGGTTGGCATTTCACAGGAAACCATGAGAGCAATTTCAGTGTGGATTTCAGGGATCTGCTAGCAAGCTGCTCAGCAAGAATGGCAAAACCCCCTGCGATCTTGTCCATGCTGCCATTAGGGACAGTCCCTCCACCCTAGTGTCCAAATGATACTTTGAGGTGACCATTACTGGCTCTTGCCCCCGCTTTTGGTTCTTAAAAATCGCACAAATGTATTCATGTTGCTGTTTTCATCAGTTTTTTGCAAATGCAACTCTGATATGTGTGGTCTTGTTTGATAAATTCCTTGTATGTTTCAGCTGTCAAAGGGAGTAATATCAATGAAAACTGTCAAGGCAAGACTCCATATAGGCTAATTTGCAAACATATGCAGATTTTCTCTCCATTTACTTCACAGCATTAAATTGGTGTATATTTCTGCTTGTTTATTTAGGTCAGGGACTTGCAATAACTATTGCATTAAGTACTACAAAAAGGAGCAGTGAAAGAAAGAGAGGAGGTTTATATCTTCCATTTCTGGGGTAGCTGAAAAAGTTAGGGAATATATTTTTGCAATTTTATGGAACTAAAAATATGATCTCAGTTATGCATTTTTGGTTCAGTTTTAATTCCTTCAGAAACTCCATGTGAGAACCAAGGTAAAATTTAGCAAAGAAAAAGCCTCATGACACAGGATGGGATTCAAGTCCTGAAAATAAGGCTGTAGCAGGCTGATTGGAAGGGGCCAGTCTAGGGCTTGAAAGCTTGATGTAGGATGAAGGCATCAATGGGGTTGTAGCTGCATCCCTTCACAGGCCCAGTTTGGTGGTCCTCCAGTGCCTCCTTTTGGGGTTGTATCTGATCTTATTGCCAGTTTTCATGCAGGTCCACTGCAGAATTGGTTGGTTCTGTTTCTGCTTCTTAGCGAGGAACTTCTTGATCTTGAATGTCTTGTGGGCATCAGCTGGCAGCTTCCACAATGGTGGCAAGACAGCGAGAAAGGGCCACTTGTGCATTTTCGAAGCTTTGATGTGCTTGTTTGTTTATTTTTAAATGGCAAATAAGTAGTGATTGGAGGAGGGAATGGAAGAAAAGATGTTTTCTGTTGTGGAGGGCATTTGGATATTTGCTGAACAAACAAAACAGTGAGCCCTATTGTCTTTCAGGTGCATCTTGGATTGTTCCATGAATAACACACACTGCACAGCACTTACAGGGTGGTTTAAAGTGTCATGCAAGCAACCCTGAGTCACAAGACCTTGCTGAATGAAATGGCTGCATTGTGATATGATTCTCAAAAATTTGGTAGACAGACTCCTGCAAATGGAGTCCTTCATTTTGCAGAAGGCAATTTTTGAATCCTGTCCACAATTGTTGAACATTCCCAGTTATTGTTTACACTTAATGCCACCATCCAAGCAAGAGCTTAAAGAGTACTAAGTGTATTAATAATGTAGTAGCATTGAAATCAGTAGGGTATAATGTCATATGAATCTACATAATCCAGTTATGCTCTTTTAACGGCATTGACTTCAGCAGAGACTGAAGGATGTGTTTAACCCTCTGTCCCTATTTTTTAAAAAATGGCTGTGCTTATTCTACCTAGGAGCAGGTTTCTCAGGAAAGCCATGCAAACAAAATGACACCACTTGCATGTGAAAAAGCCATGCCTGTGCAAAACATTATAATTGCATATTAGTCATCAGAGTAAGCAACACCTTACAGCGTAACGTGCAAAAATCTACCCAAATGATATATGGGGTTATCTTGCACATGAACAACAATGTATTGTGCTACTGGCATACATATAACTGTTGGACAACTATAACACAGTAGTAATGGTTATTGACAACTTCCTGGATTATTGTTAAAAACTGAGGAAGTGAGGGGCTGTGCAAGGACAGAACATTCAAGAAAAAGTCTTGTGCATGTTGGCTAATTTATTCAAGCAAGTTACCTATCTTAACAATTTATGCTGTGTAATATTTTCTTTCTTCCTGTAAGATCACCAGGCCTGACTAGACTATGCACTAAAGTGTTCCACAAATCTCTCTAAAAAAACTTGAAAAGGAGCTTTCTGTGTCAAAACTCTAAGGAGTTACCCCTTCCCTAATGCAGCTGTTCCCACTAAAATTGCCTCCAACCTACTCTTTGACAACTTCTTCCTAGTTTGGGCATCTGTGTTTGTGTGTATGCAGGTCATTGCAGTTGTGTGCTCCCCCCTCCCCCCCCTCCCGGTGTGTGCATGCCTGTGTTAAATCCACACATGGAAATCCAATTTGGCTAGGTGCAGTTTTAGGGTTAAAAACATTATATGCACTCACCATTCCTGTGTTGGAATGTTTGGCTACTCTGTCAGAAAAGAGGTTTCTCTTTCCCTTGGTCTTGAATTCTGGGGACAGGCAGCAGGAGGGTGGCTGCTACTCTCAGGGGAAACAACTCCTGCTCAGTTCAGGGGAGAGCTCTCCTTTGGCTTGCATCTCAGCACAATGAAATCCTAGAACAGTGAACTCACAGCAGCTGACCTTCCCTTCTCTAAGAGCCGAGCCACAGAAGAAGCTTCCTTATATGCTTGTAAACTCTTTAATTATATTTAGGGACCATGTGTAATGGGTTGGATCCCTGTAACTTTTGCCTAACTGACGTCACTGGACCTGATTTCTTATATCTTTGCCTCCCTTGTGCATAGGCAAGACTGTGATACTTGTCTGCAGACTCTAGACCAACAGGAAATTAAGGATATCCATAGGTTATCCTGAAGACAGCTCTTAAATACAGCCCTATGTATATAAACTCTGCAAATGAGCTATTGTCACTTTTTAATTAGGCCATGTAATTAACTTCTTTTTGCAGCAGGATATGAGGTATAAATTCCCAGCAACTGTCAGGTCACTTTTATCCCGCCTGGGATAACACTTTATTACTAAATGTTGTTACTAAATTGAGTTTATTGTATATTGCTAATGCAGAAGTGTCAAAGACAATTTTTTTTTCATACAAAATCAGATTTCAGCATAATTAAGTGGCTGCTTAGCTATAAAAGTACCTAATTTTAGATTGTCACCTTGCATACTTCTGTTCTTCAGTGAAAGGAAAACAAAAGCTGCCATACAATTTGGAGAATAGGCTTCACGTGACAGCCTTGTGGACTTTTATATTTTTGCTTTGTTTTGCTAACAGTCCAAGATGTAGGATTGTTTTCTCAGTTTAAAAAATGTTAACCCGTCTTTCTTTCTTTAGGATTTTGTTATGGGTCTGTCAATTTTGCTGCGGGGAACAGTGCAAGAAAAACTCAACTGGGCTTTTAATTTGTATGATATAAATAAGGATGGCTATATTACTAAAGAGGTAAGGAATCAATTTTATTCCCTAGAACTTGAAAGCACTTGGGTTGAATCCAGAACCTGTCTTCTATAAGCACAAACACCCACTTCACACAAGATGGCTCTGCCCAATTGTCAGGGATATACCCCTCACTCCCCAAGCTACAGCTTATGCCCTTCACCAGTGCCCCTTGAGTTTCTGTGTAGCATTTTCAGCAGCTTGAATGGGTTGCTGGGTTGCTCACACCTAGATCTGGATCCAGCCACTCATTGTTAAGTATATGTCTCAGGGCTGTTCGCTTAACTTTACTAGGACAACTCCAAGGACTGACATGAGATTCCTTGATGTTTAAGCAGCTGCATCTTATACTCTAGACAAAGGCAAATGCCTTGTGTGCAGCTTGCTGGGAACAAAACATGCTTCATTACAAGGAATTTTATGCTATATTTCCCTGCTTCTCCAATTTCAAATTACTTTGATGTCATCTCTAAAAATATTGAAATGTCAAACATTTGCTGGGGCTGCCTCTGCACTAATCACTCCAGCTCACCAACTTTCCTTCTTTCTTCATCCATACTGGCCGAGGCACTGTCATTTTTTCAGACAGAACAATAAAGCTGTTCCTAAAATGAATAACTTCTGTTTGTGTGTGGTGTGTTGGAATGCACAAAGAAAATCCTTTGAAATGGAGGTAGCAATGGGGAAATAACAGGAAAAACAGTGTGACAGAGAAAAGGAATGATAGAAAACTCACAGGAGTAAACAAGTATGAGGACAAGGGAGTTTAAAAACATATTTGAAAAAATCAAAATTGGGACCCAAATAAGTTTTCCTATCACAATTGAAACATAAGCATGCAGGGAGGGGCTGTTCTCGTCTTGTTTTTTTCGCTTTGCTTTTAAAAGATAGAGGTAAGACAACAGGGACAAATATTTTATTATAGATCAGAAAATGCTTTTATAAACTTGTAAATGTTATCTAGAAACATCAGTAAGTTTCCACATGAATATTGGAGTTTTTCTATTTGAAAAGGCAGTCAGGAAGCATCCATCAATTGACTGAAGGCTGATTACACACAGTTGACTTTTCCAAACATCGGCCACTGACTTTCAATAATTTCAAAGCAAACCACTATATAACATTCTAGAAGGGTCTCTGTTCTAGTCTAATAGAGCTTTGTTTTCTAACTGCAAATCTTTCACCAACTGTTTACTTCTTCACTCACTTAAACATGTTTTCTCCCACCAGGAAATGCTGGATATTATGAAAGCTATATATGACATGATGGGAAAATGCACATATCCAGTCCTCAAAGAGGATGCTCCAAGACAACATGTGGAAAATTTTTTCCAGGTAAGAGTCAGCAAACATAGAAACATTGAAACAGAGCAAGTCAGAAGGGGTCTCCCGGGCCATCTAGTCTGACCTCCGGCACCAGCCGGCTCCGCTCACGACATGCCCACCATGTGCACGTCCAGCCTATCCTTGAACACCCGCACCGATGGGGCCTCAGTGACCTCTTGTGGAAGCCCATTCCACACCCTTGGGGTCCTAACTGTCAGGAAATGCTTCCTGGCATCCAAACTGAACCCTGGTTCCCTGAGCTTTGCTCCGTTGGAGCGCATCCTGCCTTCCTCCACAGGTGAGAACAGGTCTCTACCCATCTCCATGTGACATCCCCTCACATACCAAACATAGTAGAAGAAAAAAAGAAACATATTTTTTGATATTGTTAGTATTAAGAAACGTCTTGTTCGTAATACGTTGCCTTTACTAAGCAATAATCTTTCCTCCCTCCTCCAGTTTCTTTTTTGTTTCATCTGTAGCAGAAGCCTTTCATGTAGCTGGATTAGATGTTTTAAGACACACTAATATGAATCTTAAGACCTGTGTTTGTCAAAGGAAATAAAATATGACAGCTAAAGGAGGAGTAACTCTGTTCAACTCTGTTCAAAATCTAGCAAGTAGCTTCTTTGGTTGGTGTTGTTACGACATTTATACAACCTTTGTTTCAAAGAGTAATGAAAGAAGAAGTGACAAGAGGATAACGTCACTTAACCAAACATTTCTTCTTTGGCAGAAAATGGACAAGAATAAGGATGGTGTAGTTACCATAGATGAATTCATTGAAAGCTGCCAAAAAGTGAGTAACTAGTATTAATTTCACAGCAACTGCAAGCCACGTAGAAATGTAAAGTCACTATGAAAGTGATCTGTTAAAACCTTGCACATACAATATTTCACAAATTCTGCTTTACAAAACACATTACTTCATAGATTCATAGAACTGGGAAGGGGACCTTGCAAGCCACCAAGTGCAATCTGTTGCAGGAATGCTACGTGGCACTAGAGCATTCCCAACAGATTGCTAACTGGGCTCTGCTTATTTATTTATTGTATATATTTGATATATTATATATAGTTATTGTGTGTGTGTGTGTGCGCGCGCGCATGCCATCCTGTTCGCAAAAACCCTCAGGATGGCTTACAGCATAAAATATAACATAAATAAATTCCCGACCCACACTGGCTGCAGTTAAAAACATAGAAAAGACAATATTAAAACTTATTAAAATATCGCCGGAATGAAAAGGTCTTAACCTGGCACAGAAAAACAAATAACGAACTTGAACTTGCTAAGCTTGGAAAAGCTCTTTGTTTCCATAAGTCAGCCTTCTCCAACAGTGCCCTTTAGACTACATTTCCCAGAATTCCTGACTGCTAATGCAAAAATGAATGCATGCTGAAGTCCAAAGCATCTGAAGAACACCAAGTTGGGAAAGGCTGATTCCATTGTTGAACTGTTCCCACTGTCTGGTTAATTCTCCTAATGGTCGTGTGAAATCCAGTCACCTGTAACTTAAACCCATGAGATCCAGTCCTGTCTTCTGGGACAGCAGAGAAATAGCTTTTACTCAAGGGTGGGCAAAACATGGCTTTCTAGATATTCTAGCCTACAATTCCCATCAGGCCCAGCAAGTACACTGTGAGAGCTGTAGGGCTCACATTTCCTACTATACCTATTTCTCTGTGACAGCCATTCAAGCACTGGAAGAGCACTATCATGTTCTGTGCAAATTTTCTTCTCTCCAGGATAAACTTGGTGCACTCACTGCAGATCTAATCACCACTAAGTGTTTCTTAACGCCACATAATGGCAGCACCCCAAAACCTTGTGGTTAAGTAAAATCATTGTTAATTAATTAGTTAGTTTTTCTGAAGCTATCTTCAACAGGAAATGGAAAAGGTAAAAACACCTCAGTGAACAAATACAGTTTTAAATTAGATGCTGTAAAAACTAGCTCAGTGATCACGCAGTTAATGATATGTGGCTGTAGGAAAAGGGAAGAGGCCGAGTAAGGGGTTTGGCCTTTTGGAGTTCCTTAGTACTGAAGTGAAGTCAGGTTTGGGTATCAAGGCTTGGTTCCCAAACTTGCACTAAGTAAAGCAGCATCTTAAAATTTATAATTGCGGTTCCTTGTAAATTGGAAGAGGGGAGATATCAAAGTCTTAATAATAATCTCTGCTTGTTTCCCATACTAAGAATAGTAGTGGAGGCACTATTAGCTGCTAAATGCTTAAGCCAGTTTCTTGCTGTATGTTCATTGTTACATTAGTTCATATTAATCACATTTTGTTTAACACCATAAATTGTCTCTAATAAAACAATTACAGTATAAGTGGGGGGGGGGTACCTTATTAACAGAGCAATCCCGTGTTAAGTCTACTCAGAAGTTCCACTGAGCTTAGTGGGACTTACTCCCAGTTGGTGTACATAGCACTGCAATTTCTAGGTGCACAGCTGTGCAATATAATCTAACATTAATTGCTTCCCTCCTTTTGTTACCCACAAAGTACTCTCTAGAAATTATATGTAATAGACTTAAGCAGGTATTACTGGAAGAATCACATGTGATAATGACAGTCTTCAAATGTGGCACTAACAGTGTAATCCTGTAGATGTTTACTCAGAAGTAAGGTCTATTGACTCCCACTAAATATAAATGATTGTTGCCTAAGTATTCCAAAGACTGTGACCCATAGGCTGTGGGGCAATGCATTCTGTCTCCTTGCCCTAGCCCATTCACAGGTGATTAAAGATAAAGTTGGCTGCCAGCCTTTATAGATCTATCCCTGCTAATCTGTTTTCACAAATGCAAAAATAAAGGAATTTAAATGAACCTAACAGAACCGTTCCTTCACAGAATAACTTGTGTAATGGTATTGCTAGAACTACTGCTGCTTTGATTTATAACTATTAATACCGTTTCTGTTCAGTTCCCAAATTCTGTGTTTTAATTGAATACAATTTTCTGAAACATAAGTGAATCCAATACATGAATTTGCTATGGACTGAAAAAGAAGACTTTTAAATACAAAGGGGAGTTATACTAGCAGCAGACTTACATCTTTCTGGTGGTGGTGGGAAATTTGCTCATCAATGATAGAATAATCAAAATTACACTCAGAACACCTGCAGCACTTGGATGCCTAAAAGATTGCTGTTCTCATTTCAGTTCCATATGATTCCAGAATACATTTGTAAGCTATGGTTTTCACCCTCCAAAAGAGAAATATTGTTTGCATAAAATACTTGGACATTTTTATTTATTTTCACTTTCATGTCTGTTTCTCAAATAATGAGATGGTGTGCTTTTTCTTACAGGATGAAAACATAATGCGTTCCATGCAGCTCTTTGAGAATGTGATTTAACCTCATGCAGTTCTCTCTTCAGTTAATGGACAATATGAACAATTCTGCAGCAACAAATCCATAATACTGTTGCCACTTATACCATAAAACAGGATTGCTCAGCTTTACACTGAGATGTGTATAATGCAAATAAGCTTTGTTTAATTAAAGCCTTCCTACCAAGACTATTTTTCCACTAGTTGAGGTAAAACAGTCCTGTTAAACAATGCTCTTGTAGTTGTTCTTAAACCTCATTTGATTCAGAGAACAATCCAAAGAAAACAACAAATTGAAAACTGCATTATTGCCATCCCACCCTTGACAGGTGAAGTCCAGGAGAGATGGAAAAGGACAGGATCAAGTATCCAGTTTTAATAGAGAAGTTTCAGAGTATAAAGCTATTTAATTTCATGCTCCCTTTTTAGTAACACCATTTTACAATATTCTCAATTCTAGAGTATTACAGTTAATCACACCTTGAGCAAAATTGTCCTTTGCACAGTTGGGATCTCCATGGGGCATAGTGCGGTTCTATGCCAACTTCCTTCACTATGCACCTGACATAGACCTTTACTGGCAATGGGGAAAATGCATGCATCTATGCTTTCTTCTCTGGAGCAACTGGTTCTTAGTCAAGGGCAGGAGCTGGATAACATACGGAGGCCTTCCCCGTTGTGTGGCACTGGTCAAATATGCACGTAGGAGTATGCAAGTGAGTGTCATGGGGGGCAGGCACCAGGAACCAGTACGTTGTATGGAGATCTACCTTGGTGCAGTTACCTGTAATTTAGTTTTTTTAAATTCATTTTATAGAAAAAGTTCTTTTTATAGTATAAAGTTTAAATGAATCATTGATTTAATAGTTGCCTATGGCCAACCTCATCAAGACTATCAAATGAATTAAAATGGAGCCAGAATTTTACATAAAGTTTTATGTTTCTAAATAAAGGATATAATTAGTTTACTATTGCTAGCTCTTTATTTGAATAAAGCAAAAGTCAAGAGTGCATTTAAATAGTACTAAGTAAATTGGCAGGGTAAGAAAATGTTCTGGTAAGTTTCCTGTCTTCCCTGCTCAGGAAGCATAGCAGTATATGGTCGTGTCTAATGGAATTCACACTAGTACTATCTATGTAAACAGATTTTTTTTCCTGTTGCATAGTTAAAATAGTGTGGGAATAACATTAGCAAGTTATTTAGAAGCAACGGTGGTTACAGCTTTCTGAGAAGGCATTTGCCTTGGGATGTGAACAGGGAAGAAATATATGTGCCATGATGGAGAAGCCAGGGAGAGGGGAACAATATAAGCTGTCCAACTTACCTTTCTCCTTGGTGTGATGAGTAAGAAGATAGATCATAACTTATAAAGTCATATTTCCCCTGTGTAGTCAAATCAATAAGGATCAAATCACTCTCTGTCCAGAAGCCTACTGCTATTGGTATAAGACTCATGCCAACCTTAACCATGATTTCTGCACAATGGATTTGAACAGCTTCGAGATATACAAGGAAGGCTGCAAACTGTTTTTGCAAAAATAAAGCAGGTATCTATTCTGGTGTAGAGTTGGAATAAAAAGGTATGTTGAAGGCTGCTCTGCTATCACCAGTGTAGGAATATGAGTAGTACAATACATGTACACCTGAAATTTGCTGTAGTCTGTGAACATTAAATGTGCACATTTTTATAATAAAATGAAAATGCAGACTTTTTGGCTCTTTGGCTTTTTAAAAAAAGACTTCTGAGGAGTAAGCCTTCACAAAATGTATATTATATTTAATTATATAAAAGTTCAACACTTGTAGCACATGTTGAGTGTTTAAATTATCTTTTAATACTTGCACTGAAATCACAGATTTTAAGTAAACATAGCAGGTTCAATGTTTGCACTAAGACAGTGTAACTGAAACATTCTCCAATCCAGAATCCTTAGGGAAAGAAACCTGACACTATAAAAATAACGCACAAGTTGAAATCTGCTTTAAAATAAATTAATAATGGTTCTAGTCAGGCAACAGTACCCATATTAGCTTCAGGACATGCTTATCTCTTTTCTACAAAACAGAGCATAAGGGTACAATCCTGTACCCTCTCAGCATTCTCTGGGGGGACACAGATCACTTCAGAGTGCCAGTACTAAGGTCAGAGGACCTCAGTGCTTGACGCCAGTGGATGGGCCCCTGCCCCACCCCACCTGCTACAACCAGAAGGCAAAAACCTGTACTGGTTGCTTCCTTGAGACCACAAGGGCCATGCAAGGGAACAGGGAGGGGAAGAGGCTGGGACTACTTACCTCTTGGCACCTCCTCCTTCCCACTTCCTTCCTGGTACTTTATCTAGAAACAACCACCTAGGTAAAATGCATGGGGAAAGCTGCAACAGTGGTAAACACTGCTGCTGTCATGTCTTGCACCAACTGCTGCATGCACATAAGCCTCCATGTTCAGAGGAGGATGGAGGCCAGTGGACTGCGCCCTAATACTTCTCAGCTTTGAGCACACTGCATTCTCAATTTCTAGCTCATCTCATTTGCTGGACATATTCTACACATCAATTTAAGAACATGTAAACACATCAAGCATTCATATTTTACAGTTATTATTTGACAAAGGTGAATACATCCATTATTCATGTAACAGAACATTACGTTACTGATTTACAATTACTGGTAGAAGTAATGGAACAAAGATAATGCCATTTCTGATGTTGTCCTAATTAAATGTCTTGAACACATTTTTTATCCTGACACTAATCTAAATTTTTAAATATTAATCCCTTATTTCTTTGAGAGATACACAACTATAGAAAATGATCACGAAATGGTTCCAAGCAGGTTCTTCATCACATCTCTCTTTAGGAGGAAATTGAACAATATGTTGGAATTTTAGATTTTATAATACTTAAACTTTCCTGTTGATAAAATGAAAATTGAATACAGTAAGTATTAGGTTTGTGCTGAAATAAAGTTAACTAAACAAAAGTTTATATAAAATGATAGCCATGCAACCAGGAACAACCTCATTCTTCTAAAAAATGAGAAGAAAAAGGACTATGGACATCATTCTCTTACTCCTGAACCAACCAAAAACTTAAATCCATTAAGGCATAAATATTGTTAGCAGCAGAAACCACGCATGCAATTTGTGAAATCCAACTTAGTTCCCCTTCTAGAACATATTTCCATGGAGCATTTTAAGAAAAATATACTCGTACAATTAGTTCTATAGGAAAGGAAGCAAGGGGTTGGAAGATCTTTCCCTGCACCCTTCACAAACAAGTAACTGATAAACAGAAGCTTTTTAAAGGATATGTTTGCACATGGCCAGCTATGCCATATGCATTCTGTTGTATTCCATACCTCAAACACAATGATTTCTAATGGAATCAATCTGAAATGCTCAGAATCAATTGCAGAGAAAAATATAACAATTGCATGTATATATGAATGAGCTTGCACTTTGGGTGTGTTCACATATGAAACTAAACAATGTCGCATGGTTACTGTGCAACATGCTATTTTACCTTGTGGCCTGGGTTCATACATTGACCTAGTTTCTATGCATGCATGCTTTCCACACTTCACCTTCCTTCAAATTGCTGCATATATCCCATCAGCTCCTGCAGCTCAGAATCAATCCCAGGGTAGCACTGTTACTCTAAAGAAGCATTTCAGGAATGCTTCCTTGCTGCAGCCCTGCTCTGTGCCAACATGCAAGCATGCACCCTCCCACCTGCCCCCCCCCCACACACTCCACACACACACATGCACAGGACTCGCACATGCTGCTAGGGGGTATCTGTGCGGGCAGATCATACTAGCAACAGTGGGAAACAGTACTCTAAAGGGAAGATGTGATGATGGGAAAGTTAAAAGTATACAGGGCAGACTGGGGACATTATGGTGCTCCATCTTCTTTCTTTCTTCAGATGGCAAGTGATCTTGTACCAGGTCTGCTGTGAGTGTTGGGAAAACAGCAGCATCGGTAGGAAGTAGAGGGAAAGCATTTGGGCATCCTTATGAGTACCTGCATTTCCCTGAGTCATTCACTCTTACTCCAATCCCACAGATCTTTCAGGTCAATTTTCACAGGATAAATAATTCATTTAGTATCTAATTTATTAAGTGAGGGAAATTAAAGGCAAGTCGATGCAAAACTGACTAGTCACATATCTGCATGGGTCAGTAGGCTCAAGGCCACATTACAGCACACCTGGGATTAATACTACAAAGTAGAGCAGGCAACAGGAGAAACAATAGAGCAATAACTGATTAGTTGGTTTGATTTACCTTTCCACCATACTGTTCCAACTTCTGTAAAGCATCTGTAGTTTGCTCTTTGAACTTCTTGCTCATCTGTCTTTTTGAAAGCTATGGTAAAAGTAAAAAAGTAGTTTTTCCATCTAAACCATTTTCCAGTCTTCCTAACATTATCCTTCTTTGTATTAATTACATACTGAGATGTTGAACAGATTGGCTGGGTTCGTATGTCTCAGCAAACAACCCTGCACTGTTTCCACAGCACGCATATGACAAGTTGCGCTGTCCTGGTCTGGATCAAGAATGCCCACATGGCAACATATGCTTAATGTAGAAGAGGACAGAAAATAGACATGGACCTAATGATAGGTTTTGGGGTGATCTGCAAGAGATCAAGGATTTCTGACTCCCAAAACAACTGCATCTATCCTCTATAGTATGGAAATGAAGAAAGCTCGGAGTAACTAGGAATGGGTTTCTGGGCAGAAGGACTGTGAATACCATTCAGTTCTGGTACTCAAAATTAATTCCTGAGCTCAGGAGTTCTATAATTCAGTGTGTATATCATTTGTACCAGGCTCCAGGTGAAAACACACGTGCACACACATGCCTGATGCATACCCACCCCTCCTTAGATACTCTCATTCACATAATCCATCATGTTCGATAAACTGAAGTCAAATGCTTCTGAAGTCCCAGAAGAAATACAGGAAAACAAGTGCTAAATACTGTACTCACACTTGAAAGTAGATGCTTCAGATGGCCATTCAGTGAAGGGCCAACAACAGCACTCAGCTGTACCAAAGCATTCAGTCCCCTTTCAAATACTTCACCATTTGAGTGTGCCTTATAAAGAATGGAAAACAATTAATTAAATGTCCATCTAGTTTTAGAATCCTGTCAAATTTCATGCTTCCTAGAATGACAGTGTCTTAACTAGACGAATGATTAGCCCATAGAATAAATCAAGTAGCTCATTCTTATGCTCCAACATAAAAAGTTGAGATGCATTTAGCTTGCAATTCTCATTTTATTGGAAGCAGGTTCCATTAGAACAAATACTGAATGTGACTGATTTAAATGAAACATTATTTTACATTTTCACAGTACAATCTTATGCACGTTTATTTGAAGTAAGTACCACTGTCTGTAGTGGGGCATACCTCCTAGGAATGTGAAGCTAAGACTGTAACCCTATAAACTCCTCATTACAAAAATATTTACATTCCCACAACTAGCAAGAAGTTTAACATAGAGAATAATTAATGAAACCCACACTGTAAATTCAGATAACTAAAGTTCAAGTAATACTTGATCATACTGGGTCTGCAGTGGCAATCAGTGAATAGTTAAGCTAAAATCTGACTTTTTAGTGAGGTGAGAGTCTATTTTGTGTGTTCTAGCTGTGAGAACTTTAGTACTTCATTGCCTTTTCAGATATTTCTCTCCCACTGTTCAGCTAGAGTACTTTCACACATTTTGATTAAAAAATAATGGATTTCATACTGGAGCTATTCCAGAATATGTCATGGTGGTCTTCCATATGATTCCATACGTAACCAGTACATGACCATGGATACAATATCCCAGCCACCATGATGGGACTTCTCCCTTCCCCCATGCATTCACAGATGAGTTGCACAACGTTCCTTTGTCATGCCTACTCAATCAAGTCTACACATTTATTGCTATGGTCATTCCAGCCACTTTCCACATCAACCTGAAATACTTGAGCTTTATATACCTCACAATGTGTCTGGTATTTGGAATTTTAGTACAGCTGCAGTATGCTGGAGATGAAGTACTAGCCATTGTACTTGAAGAAAAGCTAAAAACTTTCCACTTTCAAACTCGCACCTCTCGTCTCACATTTCAAAATCTACTTTTGGAGCTTCTGGGTATGGGTCTGCATGCAGGATTCATGCAGACCATCAAGCATACTTCAACATCTTATTTTTCACATAATACGTTATCATTATGTGATCCCTAACTGATAAAATATAGCAGGTTGTCAAGTCATGAATATGATAAGGTACTGTAGGGCTGCGCAGGATTAAAATCCAGATGGAGAATGATTGGCTGATCCATCTCTTGGAGTAGTACCATCTTCCACGCAGAATGTTTCATAAGCTTTTTGTGACCATGTGCTGTAGCTTGCAACCCTCATCATAATTGTTAAATAACACAATAAAAAGAGACATACCAAAGCAGTTTTCAACACTGGAACAAGCCGTGGAAGCAATGGAATGGCTTTCTGATTTGCACATTCCACCAAGAGCAGCTCTTTGAAGCCTTCTGTTGATACAAATGTATATGGGTGTCTTGTCTCTCTTAGTCCCTGCCACAGAGGTACGGCATAACATTAATATGTAGCTGCCTCCATTTTTGTACATTAAATTTAAAGTTCTCTCAAGTAACTGTATATGATACTAGAGTTTCATTTCAAACATTCAAAACACACTTATGCCACCTTGTGGTGCCATGAAACCAAAACAATTAAGCAAGTCTTACACACCCGAATCATGCACATACCCAAGAATATAGTTCAGTTTCTCAACATGTTTATATTCTGACTTCCTATTTAAACAAATATGGCTACATTTATTCAGAAATAGTACATAGTCAGAATCATTTATAGGCAGTCAGCTTAGTCTAAAAATGTACCCCGTGGCTCGAACAAAAACACACTGCCCTGTTTGTCTCAACAGAATTCTTTAACAGAGCTCTGTTTAGGTACACTGTATTGGAATTAGGAGTTATTGACAGAATGGGCTCCAGGAATCCCTCCATTTGCCAGCCTTGGAAAAGGCTTCACACTGGAGGAAAGACACCAAGAGTCAGTGGCTTTCAAAAAAATCTAAGTTCTTTACAATACTTATACACCCCTAATTTTCTATCTGTTAAAAAGGACCCTTGTATTAAATATCTTGGAAGTTTCTTGAGCTCTCTTTTTTGAGCAAAAACAGAGAATTTCAGCTATGGATAACTGCCATCTTTGGAAACTATTTTCAAACAATATTACATTAAAATTGAAGTATCACGGCAAAAAATGGTTTACCTCTGCTAAAGTTATGAGAAGAGGATCAAAGTGAAGTGTTTCTGGATGAGAATCCCACTGCAGTTTGTGTTTTACAGAGCCGTGAACTAATCTGAAACAAACCAAAATCTAAGAATTATCAACAGTAAAATATAAGGTTGTATTGATAGTTAGCTTTTTTAAATTCATGCCAAAGATCCTAAAATATTGTTTCCAAAGTTTAATGGCATGAGGTTTACCTTTGCATGACCTTTCACTATCCTCAAAGGCTTATAAAAGAAATCTTAACAGTGTATGTTTAGACAGAAAAAAGGCCTACAACTCTCAAAATGCCCAAGCAGAATATCTGGAGCACACTGGGACATACAGACCTCTTTTCTACCTAAACATACATAGGGTTTGGCTGCTTATATCATTATAAGAGTTGGGAAGGAGAATGGATCAGCACAATGCAGTATTTGTGGACAGGGTGTCAAAGCCTTCACAACGTGTATTAAATTCACTAAAAACATCTGTACCACTGCTGCTAAAATACTTTTTTACAGTTCTGTATAACGAAAAAATATGCAAAAGCAGAAACAACAAATCAACAAAGTAACAAAAATTATTATGGTCATCATGTTATTGAGGACACAGCGATATGTGTTTGCATTTTAATGTTTGACCACATGTCTCCTAAAAAATCAGATACACTGAGTTCACTAACCCTTATTCCAAGGTAAAAGCATACAAGATTATAGTCTTAATCAGCTAACATTGGGTACCTGTAACCCTCTGAGTTTGGGAGCTTAATAGGACTGCACTCTAAATAATTTAGAACAGTAACAAAAACTCTCCAAAAGTTACAGTTGGTATAACTGGTATAACAGAAGAGCAGGTAAAATGTAAATAATATATAACCAACAGCAAGAAGGGCACAGAAAATAAAATCTTACAAGTCACAAGGCCATCTAAATGGGAAAGTTATCACACAGGAAGAAAAAGGTATTAGTGAGGCGTGACTGAGCATCTCTAGAATAGTCTCTTAGGGCTTATTCACAAAGGAACATGTTTACCACTTGGTGACTACACCATCAAGTGATGGCTTCTGTGTGTGGATAAGCAGTCACAGATCAATGTTCCAAGACAGAACATTTGTATCACCTTATACAACGACGCTTTGGGAAAGAAAATCCACAGGGCAGGAATTGCCATATCCAAAATCATTCTGAGCTCTTATCAGCAGGGCAGAATGAGTATGCAAATGTGTGCTGGGGGGGATACACTCAATGATTACAAGCCCTACTGCTTCAATGTATCTATCCTGCTCACTCACATGTACCACCCAAGTGTTACCTGCAAGGAATGCCCCCTTTAGAGTAAATGGCAGCAAAGGCAGATGGAGCTCTTGACTGAACACCAAACTGGAACAAAAAAAAAAGACACTCTAAATAGGAAAGTGCCAGTTATAAATGTTAAAAAAGCAATAATATTAGCAACATCACAAAGACACATCCTAGTCAAAATTCAGTTATTCAGCCCTATTAATCATTGCCAGTGAATTCAATGGAAATTAAAAATACTTAACTCTGGCTGAGATATACCTTGTGTGTTTCATTTTACGAAGTAATATTTCTAAAACAGTGTGAAGAGAAGAGTTTGAGGAGATGTGTTACAGAATAAAAACACACATTTTATACTCAGGACAACAAATAAAATTAAATAATAAAGAAAATACAAGATTTTTTAAATGTTTGAGACTACTTGGAAAATTAATAAGGAGGAATGCTTAAGTTAGAAGGATTTTTTCTCTTAACAATTACATGAAAGAACAGTCTGTATAACATATTTACAGTACGAATAAGAATGTTCTTTTTGATTGATTTTAATAAGAAATTCTCACAACTCCTCCAGCAAGATCATAGATATAAAATCTGGAAAATTGCCATTATGCCATCTTGTAATGTACTGCTCACCTGGTGACCTGATTTTCCTAGTTACCTGAGAAATCAATAGCCCACTAGAGTGGTTAACACAGTTTTTTTTAATCAACTTATATTGCTGCCCTAAGGAGAACAGAGCATATTGTTGTAAACTATGAAATAATTCAGTAGAATTCATTACACTGTGGACACTTCCTTTTTATGCAATGGTAGTTATTATAACCCTATATACAAATAGCAGCACTATCACCATCTGCAAGATTGACAGAAACAGGAAAAAACCACTAAACATGGGGAACCTCCCCAAACACCCCCTCCAACCCAACATTCTCTATCCCAATCAAGATTTAGCATGCACAGTGGGTATGGAATGCAAACTTTTGGGCAGGAATGGCAAACTCGAGGGTTAAGAGTATCCTGAAAGTGGCTGGCTGCAACCATGAAAAGAAACTCTCCCACTGTGATGTTTGCATGCTGCATGTCCCAATTTTAATTTGGATTGCACACAATGAGCACTCAAAAACTGTTGGTCAGTAACAACTGCATTTGTCAAACTGCCATGACATTGCCCTTTACAAACCACCAGACAAGAAAAATGACACAGTCATATAAAAATACAAAACTCAACAGGAATAGAAGTCAATTAATTAAGATCATGCAGGTGCAATCCTATCCATGAGGCCAATGAAACAGACAGGTGTTTATAGCAGGTGCTTCCAACCTTTTAAAGTTGATGAACACATTTGGAATATTGATTGTTGTGGGCACTCTCACAAAATGGCTGTCATGGGAGGCTTACCCATTCATAAACTGGTTATCATGCTGGGCTTGACTGATCACCTAAAACTCATTCCCAGAAGGCAAACTGATGATGAGAAGAGATTTACACTTTGTTTACAGCATGCCAGTTTCCCAGTTAAAAATAGTTACAAAGACCTTAAAAGGCAAAATAAAAACTCAAGAGAGAAAGGGAGCTTAGTAGATGCCAGAAGATAACTGTGCGGTACCACACTGGAGACTTGAATATACAGGACTGCATCCTAGGAGGAGCACTTTTCTCCATCAAAAGCACAGGGTGTAAGATACTTAGAATATATCCTAATTTACTTTGAAAACTGATCTATCACTTAGCTACACACAGTCCAGAGAAGAAAAGTAATGAAGTCCTACTGCCAAAGCTATGATCTGGACATGCTTTCATTTCTTGTACTAGTAGAGTATCTCCGGTGGTTAAGAAGCAGCTCTAGGAAAATAGCAGGCCATTGAGATAGTAGGGAGCTGTAGAGATATTACACACATGAACACACATACTTGCTGCCCTGGTGCATCAAGGATTGGGCCCCAGCTGATCCTCCAATTGTCTCAATATTAAAAAACTATAATAATACCTGACCAGGTTTGCCTTCATGCATTGCCCAGCGAAAAAACTGGATTAAGATCATCCTCACCACTATGTAGACTCCTTAGCTATGCATGTACATACCGGATCAATTGTTTTGGGATTAAGTCTGTCGCTGGGCCGGGGTGGTGGTTTAATCACTGAATCCGGAAGAGTAGATGAAGTAGACAGTACCTTTCTTTTCTGTCTCTCTTTCATTTGAGAGCCTGAAGATATTTTTTTACCAATACATCCTAGTATACCAAAAACAACAAGAGCCCACAGATGTAATCAGCAACAGGAAGTTCATTATTAATTTAAAACAATGAAAAATAATTAAGACAGATAAATATAGCCTAGTAAAACTATACAGTGAAGACACTTACCAGACACTTCATTTTTCAAACCTATGCCTTCACATTTCTTTGTTTGTTGCATGCCTTTCTGGGACACTTTATATGGTCACCTGCAGCAAAGGATAATTGATGTTGGCTGGTTCACTATTTTTCTATTCTGGTAGTACAATTTCTGATGAGAATGTTCAAATAGAAGGAACTTTTTTTTTTTTTTTTATAAAAGAGCATCATACGTAGCTACACTACATTCTGTATCACAAGTGCTATGGACATTTGAAGGAATACATATAGCATTGGCCAAGGAAATCATTTCTGTTTTCTAAGTAGGATAAAATATCTACAAACAATGCATAACATCTGGGCTATAAATGTATTCACATTTACACACAATGAAGGGGCTTTTTTGTCTCATTCTTTTACTATACTGGAAATGAGGACCATCTACTGAAACCCCTAAACAACATTACATGGAATTCATTGTCACAAGATGCAATGATAGCCATTGACTCATGATGCTCAGAAGGGTCTCCCATATGTGGAAAATGTGTGTCTTAATAGCAATTAGCCATGGGTGCCTTTGAAAATGGACGCTCTTTTTACTGTGTTCCTCTGAATACCAAAGGTCATAGAAAGGAGGTGGCCTTCTTTGCTTATGGGCTTCCCTGAAATGTCTAGTGGGCCCCTGTTGGAAAAACAATATGGAATACACAGACCCCAAGTGTCATCCAGTGAAGGTATTTTTATGAGAGTTAGCTTTCTTGAGTAGATACTCAATGCCAAGTAAACATTAATGGAATTAGGTTTGTGTGCCGTTAAGAGCAACTAGTAAGGGATGTGGTGGTGCAGTGAGTTAAACCGCTGTGCTGGTTGATCGAAAGGTCCAGACGGGGTCAGCTCCTGTACTCTGTCTCAGCTCCTGCCAACCTTGCAGTTTGAAAGCATACAAATGCAAGTAGATTAAAATGTATCATTTCGGTGGGCAGGTAACAGCGTTTTGGGCACTTCGGCTTTAGTCATGCCAGCCACATGACCATGGAGACTGTCTGCAGACAAACACTGGCTCCCTCGGCTAGGAAACGGAGATGAGCGCCTCCTCCCCCAAGAGTCAGACATGACTGGACTTTAATGTCATGAGGAAACCTTTACCTTTAAGAGCAACTAGTGCCAACACAAACCTGGAAATGGCAGCTTCCTTTTCCTTGGCAGTCTTTTTTCCCTTTCATTTTCCAGCTGTAATGAGGACTTGCTGTGGTTATTCATCCACGAGGGGGCAAGGTATGCACAGGGTTGTTTTTAATTTTTTTTATGTATTGCATTTCTTTACCACCCAAACAGCTAAAGCTTTCTGGGAAGGTTCTATTTTTTTTTCACAGTCTCCTGGCAAGCTTAAGCAAAGGCAAACAGTGTTAATATCTGTGAACTGGTGCCCTCCAGACTTTTGTGATTGCAACTATCATCAGCTCCGGACAGAATGACGAGAGTTGTAACCAAAACACCTAGCAAACGCCAGGTTAGCCAAAATCGAATGAGGTCCCCATTACCGCGTAGCCTATTCGTGCACAACGGTGCTTGGACGAAAAGCTACCAAGGCCGTCGCAGAGAGCATCATTATGGGCAAAGGCTACAGGAGCGGGACTAGCATGACCCTTCCGTCGCCCCTCACTTACCGAGTCCTTCAGGGGGAAAAACGAGGACGAGCACAACCCCCACCTTTGCGCCGGTGCGGAGGGAGCAGGCAAGTCGCAGCAGCTCCCCGACAGGGCGCAGCTTCCACTCCGTTGCCAAGGAAACTACGGGAGGCGGCGAGGTCAAACTTCTTCCAACGGCGCAGGGAAGGACGTCGCGGGGTCGGCTCTGAGATTCCGTTTCCCTGGAGCAGCGTAGCCCGGAGTGGCGTGGTTGCTTTGTTCGCGAGGAGGACGAGCCAAGGCGGACAGCCCAGGCGCTATCCTATGCCGTTTAGACAGAAAATAGCCCTACATGCATGGCTGAGGAATGCCGGGAGCTGTACGACTTTCTCTGTCCAAACCTGCGTGGGTCTGTGCGTTGAATAGGCTTTTCAGCCCCTCCCCCCCGTCTTCGGTTGCCTGGAAGTTGCGGTCGTCGGTCTCGCTTTGCAAAGGGTCCGTAGCCGGACTAAACCAAGTGCTGGTTATCATTTCTCACTGGGTCCACCCATACCTATTGGAATCTTCCTGTATTGTGTATACACGTTTACGGTGTGTAGAATGAAAACAAAAAAAGCTAAAGTATATCTGAACGATGGAAGTTTCCTTTCCTGAGCTGGAGGGAGCCAAATTCTTAAAAAAAGCACTTTCAACTCCACTCATTTCTGTGAAATAGCTGGTATTTCACAATACAATCCTATATGTTTGCCTGAAAGTAAATCACCCTGAATTAAATGGAATTATCCCCCAGGTAAGTGAATATAGGATTGCAGCCTTAAACACACCCGTATAATATATGAGGCTGTCACAGTGCTTTACTTTGAATGGATTGTGCCCTGAGCAGTTTGCCTTGAGGGTTTCCCTCATGACAGAGAGTAGCGTATGGCAGAGTGCAGAAATCTTATTGGCCCTGTCCCTTCCAATGCGCATAGACGAGGCATTTGTAAAGCCATTGCCCTGTCTCGTTCACAAAATTTTACAGAGACCATCTTCCAATTGCAGCCTTTCTGGGTTTTTCCTTATGGGAAGGGGCTGTTTAAGTGGAAGACGTGGAACTGCTGCACAATACCTTCTAATCAATCGCGCCAGGCACTCTCCCTCTGAAAGTACCCTACGTAGTCTATATTCACATTAGAAGTCGATTTAAAACACCTATTTTAAGTCTCATAATGAAAAATCACTGTTGGGGAACATACTTTAGAAAAAGAAGGGAAGCAATAGAATATATTGGGATTTTAGTCACTTTCACGTTTTCTCCACCTGATGGTGGTGCTGACCTTCCATATTTTCCACTTGTACTTTTCTGTGTAACTTCGTCATTATTCAGCTGCTACTCAGTAGATTTCAAACAGAAAGGGAATTTTAAAAGTTAATTTACATGATGACTATGTAAGATAAACTTCTCAATGGAGAAAAAAGGTATTACATTGCTCACATGGACCATTTGCTTTACTCATTTTTAGTCATTTTATCCCAGCTCAGAAAAATGGGTGCACGCACTATTGAAAGCAAATATTATAGAATTGTGTCCTTTTTGTGGAGACAGGTTAAGTGGTGGAATGAATGTTTTCTCCTGTACACAAGAATATAAATTCACATATTCTTCATAATAAAATTGTATTAGTCATCTTCAGGGAGTAGTTCAGGAGATGCCTTTTATCAGGGCAAATTTGACTAAGAATGCACTGAACCTTTTTGCAATATCGCGTTATTTACAAATAAAATAGATGAGAAGCACTTGAATGTAGTGGTACAATCAGGAGCACCTACATTTTTGGTCAAGTCCTGTTTGTGCATTTTCAGAACTTGTGGGTGGGACCTGCTCTGCATATTTTTGTTCCTTTCTGCAAAAGGCCTTCCACATCCCTGGGAAAATTATGTGCGTTCAGCCGAGCTTCAGGTCTTTCTAATCAATGCAATATCTGAAGCTGCAGCCAGTAGGGGCAAAGGAACCAGAGGCTGAGCTAGTGCATTTTTTTTAATATACCAAGTGCAAAGAAATCCTGCTCCCCAGTTCTCAGGAAGTCCTCTCCAATGAACTTAGAATTGCCTCCTGCAAAGTGCTCTTTTAATCTGCTTGTCCCTGGTTTAGGGTTTGCCATCTTCTAAACAAAAACTGTACCATGTGGGCTCAATCGGAACTGTTACTTTAAGGGGATTCAAGGCTTCCATGTTCTGGTGTGCAGATTTGAGGGGAGGACCTTTGGCAGGAGGAAAAAGCTTGCAGGGCTTGGTAAGCCATTTTGACTTAATGCTGGGGACTCTCAAATCCATCTGGAGGGAATAATGTGTTTAAATTTGTGAGTTTTTTAAATTATAGCTGTTTTATCTGGAATACCGGTGAGTAGGAAACTTATTTTCCATTAGGCTACAGCGCTGGGCTACTTCCTCTTTCCCGGTAATCCTGCCCTTCGAGTTAGGAGGGATTGAAAAGCAAATGGAGGCTCAGTGTCCTGGATGGAAAAGGTTTTGGCTTGGGGTCTGTTGCTTTTTTGGATTTAGAGGTAAAGTTTTAAAAGCCTTTGTTGAAGGAAGTTGGAAACTTTAATCCCAAAAAAGGCTTGCTTTAAAAGTCCAAGCCTACTTGACTTGAAGTCCAGTAGGGGTTTGTGGGTCAGCTACTTTATTTAAAAGATAGGAAATGGCTGCCCTCGGCATTAGGTCTGTATACCAATGGTATTGGTTCTGTTGCCTTAATAAAATTAGTGACACTGTTACAACTGTGAGATTTTTCAAAAAGAGAAAATAAGAAAAGTTGCTATGAAAATAGTTGAAAGCAACTTTCCTGCAATCTAAAATAGCACCTGTGATTTTTGTTGACTCTGGCATACAGAATATTTTTTGGTTAAATATGCTACCCAGTTTAAAAAAACAACAGGTGACATAGTGATTCAGCAAAAGTGCGTGCTTCCAGGGGAAATCAATGTATAACTATTTGTATGAAAATAGTCCTATTTAGGAGAACGGCCACGTACTTTTACACATTTCATAGATTTGAAATTGTGGTTAAGAGAGATATCCAGTGGTCTCTAGACAACGTGGAGGGGAGAGGATACTTTGAATTGTCAGAGGTGAAATCAGAGTCAGAATCCCAAGCTCAGAATTGGTGCTCTGCCCCCTCCCCCCACGGAAAATGCTGTGTGGACTGCCTCATCAGGGCTGGCAGCTTGGCCGTTGACAAGGAGTAAAGGGACATTTTGGAAGGGATGTGGCTCTCCAAGCAGAAATGCAGCATGGGAGGAGTAAAGCAAGGTGGAGTTCATCTCTGCAGCTCTCCCTGCTCTGCACTGGATCAGCCTCCAAACCATAGTATTGCACCCCAAATCAAGTGCTTAATTCTCCAACACGACCTAATATTCAGCCACAATAGCTAGTGCTACTGTTCTTAATTAAACTCAAAAATTATCTGTTTTTTAAAAAATGTGGTCTTAATATTCAAATTGTTTGGCCAAATGTAGTTGCTGTTGCCTCCTTGAGTTCCCTTCCCCAGTTCAGTTCTTGTTTCTTATTAAATACTCATGAAGCTTTCATTTCTTTAGATCAAAATGCCATTCTCTTCTAGCCGGGGACTCAAATGAAAGCAACAAGTGCATGTTTGAGGGTGGGGAAATGGAAGAATAAACCTCATAAATATCCTGCCTGGATCTAGAGTGCTCCACTAGCTTTGATCTATAATGTAGTATCGTGTCAGGCACACCAAAGAAGTTTTATGTGCAGTAAAGAAGAGAAGTGAGTAGCTTCATGGTTAATTGATTTAAAGGTTCTACAGAAGGTGTGAGATCAAAGAACAACTTAATGGTTTTATGTTACCCTCGAGATCCGTGGGTCCACTTATATGAGGAGGCTGACCTTGGGCAATTAGTTAACAGGATATTCTTTTCCCAGATCAGTTGTTCTCTGATTTTATCTGTGCAGCTTGTGTACATATTCACTTCGAACACAGGGTGTTCTTTTCCTCATAGCACTGTTGCACCACTATGTAGCAGAGTTTATTCTGTTGCTAGCAAAATGCTCATCATGATGGTGGGTGCAGTGTATGTAAAAATGGGGCTTGTAAAGTGTAAGATTCCTCTCTCTAATATCCTGCCTAATCATGGAAGCTAAACAGGGTTGGGCCTGGTTGAAATCTGGATGGGTGACTCAAATATCATGAACTGTCCAGAGAACTTTGGCTATGGGCAGTATAGAAATGTAATGTCATAGTGATAATGATAACGTTTTCATCAGGAAATAAAATACCCTACTTGAACTTTGCTTTACATGCAAATATGCTCAAGTGCAGCACTTTACTTTTGACATAGCAATGAATAGCAACCATGTGCTAATACATGACAAAGACATTTGAAAATCAAATGTTCATCTGCATAACCTTATGCTTGTAATGTATCTGTGTCATGCTAGAACATGATGTAATATTGGGAATGGCCATTATACGCACTTGCATATTATGGAGTAAGCCCCATGCAGAGTACTAAACTGTCCAGCATCTGTTTCTCCTCCTGCTAGAATGTAGTTCTCATCATTGAGGAGAAAGAATAATTAAAGCCAACAATTGGGGGCTGGTAAAACAACCAAAGGCACAATTCATTAATTGTGTTGGACCTAATTATGTAAAAAAAAACTTTACATATGCCTTCAGGAATTGATGGAACACAGTGTAGGTCTCTTGAAGCAATAGGCTCTGACCCTCTGGGCACAGATGTTAAGAGTGGTCTTTAGTCTTTCACCATTTCTCAGCTTCCTAATTTTGTGAAGGTAAGACTGCCATGTAATAGACTGTCCTAAGTTGAACTTGCAACACAGTGTAGCAGTGTATCCTTACCCCTCCTTTCAGGAGGGTGTTTCTTCAGAATCCTATACATTGTAAGGCACTCAAGCAGATTATTGCGCTCTTCCCATGTTGCCCATTTATTCTATTCTTATGAACACTGAACATTCTGCAGCTGCTGGGCATAGTCCTCATTAGGCTGGTTGGTTTTTTGTTTGCTTCTAACAGGACTTTTTCAGTTTAAATGGTCATAGGATTGCAGCCTTAGCTTTT